TTTGTAATATGTGAAAGCTTAAGCTTAACTTTTAGACAAGATCAAGATGGTATCGTCCTGCTCTTCTGGAAATGAACTTCCAAATTCTTGCATGGTCTTTTCTTCCAAAACACCAGCTTTATGAGTTATACCTCTTTACCCAACAACTGTTTATGYAGTAATTTATGTTCTTCTAATGAGGTTTTGTTTCTTTAAGTCTGTTTTTCAGTAAAAATACGCATTTTCTGGGTTATTTTCATAAAATTCAGGACACACTCCTTGGTGATTCTCTGCAACTGTGGTTAACAGATTGTGTTTTGGATCTGACAGGATATTCTGGTATATACTTACTTGTGTGTTTCTTGTGCCARATCTTTCAACAAGGCTTTTTGGGTCTATGTCACCTTAAAAGTACAAAGAAGTCAGGTGTAACTATTGTTTTCTAGTGTTCTGAGAGTCAGCAATGATTCTATGCGGATATCCTTAAAACATTGATCTGTAATGGTAGGCAACTAAAAGAACAGCAACCTACATATCCTTGCAGGGCCTCCACTCAACTTGCTTTTCAGGAGCTGTGGACATTTCTTATTGCAACTTAACCAGCTGCATACTTGAAGGACTGTGGTTAAGACTAAGATGTGGTTTGAATTCTAACTGCCTCCTTCCTATTTTGCAAAGTTTCTAAAAACATTATTGTTAATTATATATCACGCACAGAATACATGATGATGTGGTAATAAGGGTTTGCTGGCGCTTTTTTAGAATGATATGCACAGCATAGGCATAGCTTCTAATTACTCAGCAATATGGTCATTTCAATGTCAAGCAGACTAAATCATGTGTCATTCACTAACACCAAATCATTGAGCCATTGTAGGTTTTTGTTCTGATATTTTAATTGCTTTTGAAAGTAATGATAGGAAATGAAAGCAAAATGAGCTCTCATTACCTGGTAGGAACTATTTTTTGAATATGACTGCCCAAATTCAAACATATAAAAGTTTCTATTGTGTAGCTCGTATAGTCTTGTTTATCTATAAATAATATATTTTTTTCTTCAGTATGAGAAAGCAGTGGAGAATTAAGCCAAAAAAGAGGGAATATAATCTTTTATTTTTATTTATTTATTTTTTTAATCAGAGTGAAACTAGACAAGATGTTAAAGAGAAATAAGCACATCCTAATACTATTTACAACTTGCTAGCATTCAGCACCACGTCTCCATGGGTGTCATAGGACATACTAGCTCAAACTTTGCAGAGATAAAGCAAAGGAATTAGGACAAAATTGGCCAAAGTTATCTCTATCTCAGATAAGTAGGGAATTTCTAGTCATTTTTGGACATACAGAATTAGTACATCAAATGCATTTGCCTTTATTTAGTCAATAGTTTATTTTTTTTAGTATAAATTTTCCAGTTTCAGCTTTGATTTTARTTTATCAGCACTTTATTGTTTTTGAGTGATTATAGTGTTTTTTCTCTGTTATTTTCCTGGATATGTTCCACTGTTTTGAAAATGTTTTTATTATTACAGTAGAGTTGAGTGGATCCATTTATGGTTTTACCCATTTTCAGTTAGTAGTTATATAAATAAACTTGCTGCTGTGGAGCATGAATACTTTTGTGAAATTTCCCTCTGTACTCATTTTTGAGTATATGAAATTAGAACTTGTCTTAGATATTTCTAATCATTGCAATAAGCCTCATTATTTATTTAAATTTTAACTTCAGGTCTCTAGCCTCAGATTATTCTTAGATATAATAGTCTCATTTCAGATTTTATGTGCAGGGAAAAAAAGAAGTATCAATAAATGTAATAGAAGCTCCAAGATTCACTACATAAAACATAACTGTGTTGGATTTTTTTTTTCTCCTCCGAAAAAGTTTTTTTTCATAGAATTAGCTCACGCTAACAGTTTTACCTTTGACTAATAGTTCTGTAATGTAAGTGTATGTATAAATGCTATGTTTATTTGCTTAGAGAATGAGAAAATAATCACTGTCTCTCATCTACAGACCTTATCTTTCTAGCTGTCAAAAAGCCAACAGGCAGGAAATAATTAGAAATTTTAAATGAAGATTTCATGATATGATGTATATGTGGCTGTAATAACTTTGAATTCTGGAGTAAGTAGCCAGTTGGGAGGGAGAGGCTACTTCCATTTTTAGTGAAACTTGCAAGGATATTTGTGCAATGTGCACGTGGTCTTTTGTTTGTAGTTTTTTTCCTGAACCTTTCTGAGTATTTCTGAAAGGAAAGATGCAGCTTCATTTTTTTTAGGTAGAATTTTCTCTATGATTTTTGGTAATGAGATTCACTCATTAATTTCTAAATACTTCAATATCTGTATACTTAAAAAGAGAAAAGTTATTGCAGGTTATGTGGGGTTTTTTTCTCTTTTTTTGGGGGGGGGAATCTTCATATCAAATGTCATACTTTTTAAGGGTCATGTGTGAGTTTCTGATTTTGTGGTAGTAATATTTTACATTTAGCACCGTTAGGGCATTTATTTTTTTTTTCTTTTGTATTTTATTGTTCAGTGAGTGTCAGGCCCCTTACTGAAATGCAGAGTTTGATACTAATAGGGTTAAAAGGACCTCCACTGTCTGCATTGTGTGTGTATTATACCTACATTGCTTATACATTGTTTTTTTCCCCCTAGTATTAGCAATCTGCTTTTGTACTTTGACATAGGGATTTCCCTTGTGAATTTTGTCACAGAAAAAAGAGAATCATCAATATCGCAGTTAAACTTGACTTTCAAAGCTAATAGTATCTCATTTGGGGGCTCAAATTTAATAAATTTTCTTTGATTCTGGGTGAGTTTTTAAACATCAAACAATGAATTGGCCAGGGTGCAGTAAAATATTTAGATCTATTGACTACGGTTCAGAAGGGTAGAAGGCAAAACACTGGTGGTTTGATGTTGATAAATTCTTAGTACCTTAATCCACATTAATGTTTTCTTTTATCTGTGTGTATACTGGCAATGAAAAGACACTGAAAAGTTGGAAGATATATACATGTATTTTTACATATAAAAATGTAAATTGTGTGTGTGTGTGTAGGCTGTATGTGTGCATTTATATATGTATATTTAAAGTTTTTTTTTGTTATATTCGGCAAGGTTAACATCTGACCAGAATTACATATGCTGACTGAACACCCTGGAGATTGTGTTTGTTCCATAGGACTGAATATCCTGAACATAGTACACTATGTGTGCAAAAAAATGTGTAGAGGACCCTTCCTGCTATAAAAATTGCATCATAGTGCATATGTTTGGCAGCCACAGGTATTGACAGGAATTCTTTAGGTCAACCTGGGAAATGTAAGGCTCCCTATTCCCACAGAACAGGGCAAAGAATAAAATAAAATCTTTTCGTCTTTATGTCAGTAGATTTCAGTAGATTTACACATGCATACTTTTTTTAAAAAATCAGAGCAGATATCAAAGGCTGTGCTAGTATTTGAAATACATTCACTCACAATCAACATTAAAAAAAATCTAATTTTGTAAGTGGTTACAAAAAAGTAATCTGGGATTTAAAATGAATAGGCACATATTTTAATTCATGATTGATGAGTTCTTTTGAGCAAGAAGAGCTCTGAGGGAGAAAAACTGTCAAATTTATTTAAAATAGTATTTAGTAAGTGTATCAACTGATTTTTTATATATAATATTTGTAGATATTTAGTTTATTTTTCTGATGTTTTCRTATCAGGGTGTATATTGTTAATGGTAGTCTAATTATCTTTGCAGTACTAGATGTTTTTATTCTAAACAGTCTGTTATGTGAATGTTTCATCTATTCATTCACAGTAATATATATATATATATTTGTGTGTGGCTATTCATCTGTATTAGAATGTAGTCTGACTATGGGGATATTCTGGTGGTGGAYGTGATTTTTTTTATTAAATAGAACAAAAAATGGGTATTTGAAACAATGTATACTGTACATGAATGTAAGTGATCATGTAAGTGGTATGTATAAAACGTGTTTCACATCCGCATTGATAGAATAATTACATGTTGTAGTATGTGAAAGAGTGCTGAATTTCAGCTAATGATCAAAATATTCGTTTCAATCTAGTTGTTTAAAGAGGAAGGCGTTAATCGTTTCGTGTTGCTGAGAGTTTCTACTGTTCCGAAGGCAGGCAAGACTTTATTTTAGAAACAATTTCTCCCTTAGTCAGCAGGTGGCACTGTGACACCAACTGCACCTGGTTGTGTTCGTGGACATACGTAGAAAACGGTGGTGGTGTTTGTGGGTTTTGTTTTATCCTTACCTTTTGCACTGTCTGAGAAATTAAATAAATAAATACCAAGCTGTTTGAATACTCTACAAATTATATTATATTTGTCTCCAATTTGGTGTTTCTAAAAATTTTATAAAAAGTTGATCAATATGACGTGTGTCTTTTTTACATGGAAGTCTGCAATAGCAATTTTAAAGCTGTGTGATTAATAGCAGGAGGAAGAAATCCTACTACAACAATTAGTTTTATTTTGGTTGAGGGTTATTCATTTCATTCAAGGATTTAATTGAACTGATACTGAAGGAACCTTGTTGTGAAGGACTGGTATGATCCTCATGCAATAGACTGAACTCGCTTACCGGTTTCGTGTTTATGTGGCTGTATAGTACATCTTAATTTCACAGTTGATGTCTGTTAAGACAGAAGTACAATTACTGTTTCTTTTCTTACTATTTTTTTGTGGGGAGGGGACAGGTCTAAAAATGTATACACCAGTTGGACTTGTGATCYCTTAGCAGCTCTTCTTTCCTTCTCATTTCAGATCAGAGGAGGATGCTTTTTCTTCTTAACATTCACTCCCAGCACTCTGAATTAGAGATTTATTTGCAACGAAAAATCAATTAGTCCTAAATTTATTCATGGATTTCAGGTCCAGCGATCAATGCAAGTCCACTCAGTGGGCTCAGGGGGACCCAGTTCATCCCAGTTAATGTGTCTGGAGGGGAATTACCATTGATGCTGTTTTTTTCCCTTTAGGTCAGAGATCAGAGCTTGCTGTCACGGACTGCGGCAACCAGGAATGACTTCACCCTGCAGCTACCCAAACTGCACCTGGAGACCTTTGCAGTGGAAGGGCTGAAAGGCGGGCCAGAGGTTGTAGCATTTCAGGTTAGAATCTAAAATAATCGTGTTTCGTTTTTTCCTTTTTCTGCCTCTGAGACAGAAGGAGAAACTAGACTGTTCTGAATGTATAGAGGACAAAAAGCTTCAAAACTATTGTATTCAACAGTTGAAAGAAATATGTATCACTGAATATCATATTTCAGGGATGAGARGACTTCTAATTTTTCAGTTACAATGTAAAAAAAAATGACAGGAATGTGACCATGGAAAAATGCAAATGTTMATTTTCAAAATTAATTTCAGTGTAACCCATATTTGACTTGTTAGGCATGCAAAATAAAAGTATTTGTATGCTGCTTCTGATCATCACCAGGTATTTTTCTTGCTATGCTTTTTGAGGTYCTAGTGATTTTAGAGGATTTCTGATTTAAATGCATTTGCAGATTGGAATGATCAAACACAAAAGCTTCTCTGCTTGTGTGTTTAGACTGATTTGTATCAAAATAATTAAGTAAAGGGGGAACAATGCGGAGAAACAGCAGTGGACTAAAAATATACATATTTTCAGCTCTAAAAATGAATTTTATGCAGTATCTACTTTTTTTTTTTTTCGTAGGAGCTATCCCTGTGTCTTTTAATAGCCATTGAAAATGACTTCATTCTTGTGGTACATTATTGCTAAAGGCAGAACATTTTGTTTTCTCAATGAGTGAATGAAAGGGCTAGTGAGTAAATGTTTCTTTCATTGTGCTCTCCTATGTAGATGGGAGAGAAGAACGTCTGTCGCAGCAAATGTTGCATAACATGTATGCATTTCTGTAGCAATCCTTTTTTTGATTCAGTGAAGGTTGCCTGTTGTGGATGCAGTRCATCATTGCAGGAACAGGACCACAAAGTCAAATGTTCAAGAAATGTTCAAGTTCCTAGCTGGACAGTTCTCACCTTTGTTCTCTTGTATACATATGTTTTACTATGATAAAGTTTTAAATTTTGTGTTTATTGTYCTGTGTTCATAATGATTCTGTAAAGTGTGACACTTGAGTTTCTCCTGAACTTTAATTATGTAGAATCTTGTCTCTGCTTTATAAGGATATTGGCAGAGGATAGAGTTGAAATGTCTCCCCAGCACAGCCTTGATCACTTCAATGTGTATAGGAAAGCTTCTTCAGATGGTTTCTTTTGAAAGAAGGTGTGATGGCAATCGGCAACTTCTTATATACTGCTTTGCTTATTCAGTCGCCTGTTACATAGTACCTGCTGCGTCATAATCCAACTCACACTCATTTATTTATTTATTCATATTTGTATTTTTTTTTTATTTTGGGAATATTTTGGAAGTATTTGGAAGACAACTCATTCTCTTTTCCTTTCTAAGAAGATGAAGAGAAAAGGGGACATAAAAAGTTATGCTTAACATTTGTACAAAGTGCTTGTAACAAAGGCWAATGCACAGCAAGGAGTGCTCTGAGTGGCTTACTGGTGGCGCYGTGTTGCAAGATCCTTTATTTTCACCCAAAAGTTCCATCGCACCTGGTTACTCTGTGCATATATAGGCAGCATTAGTGGCCCACAGTCTGTCTCACCTTTTTTTTTGTTTTTCTTTTTTTTTTCCCCTATTCTAGTTATTCTCTGTCTGTTTGAAGAAATACTACCTSCATAAATAACTTTCTAGGTAATTTATAAGTTTGTTGTTGTTGTTGCTTATAGTTGGGAGCCAGTTAATTTATTTTAATTTTACTACTGTATGCAAAACTATATTAAGGGCAAGTCTGAATGAGGTAAGCAGCCAGTAATCACTTTATGGTCCCCCTTTATTAAAAATAATGGAACTGTTTGCATGTTTGGTCTCTGTAACAGCTACACATGTGTTTTGTAGCTAGTCTGTGACAAATACCTTTCAATTAAAGGCTTTATTGTCTACAAGTGTTAGACTAAAGGAGTTATTTTCTGAGCCAAGATATATTGATATTTGATAGTTTGATATTTTTCTTTAAAAATGCAGAAAAAAAAAGAAGGATGAAGCACTAGCTATCAAAACTGATGAATACTCACAAAAGAGAGCATTGTTTTATTTCAATCTATRTCTGGTGACTGAAGTTAGGAATTAATCTTCATTCTCTATCCAACATTTCAGTTTATTTCCCTATTTTATTATGTGAGAGGAATAAAAAAAAWTTTGCCCATTTGTATATGCATGTACATAGATAGGAAATTCAGTCCCATGAAAGTAGAAAAAAATTCTGACAGCATGGGAATAGCAGGTTATATTTCTACCAAATTTTTGTGAAAGCAAGTGTCACTTAAGGAATTTGACAGGGTGAAATCTTCTCCTCTTAATGTATTTGATAGGCTCTGAAGCATCAGGGAACTATATTTCTTGCCACTGGGAGTATATAAGCCTTGGAACTTTTAAATTGCAGTTATCTCTGTGTGAATATTGCTTGGGAAATATAATGCTTTCTTTTCCTGAAACAAATGCAAAGAAGATCTACATAATAAACTATGTTGTTTGAATGTGAGGTAGGCAGTTTGTTTCTGGCACACTTAATTGTCTTGTAAAATTTTTTTTTTCTAGCAAGTCGATTCAGCATTGCACAACCATGCATGTTTTACAGTGCTGAATAAATAAAACAAAACCCTTGCCATTTCYAAATGAAATAATTGTTAAACTGTATATAAGTGAAGTATATCTAATAAAGTTCATCATGCTGTAGTGGAAGACCTGTAGATTAGGAACATCAGGAACACAAGCTTCTGCAAAGCCTGGACTTTATGTTTTTCTATTGCAAAATCACATAATAATGAAATGCAAGTTATTCAAAAAAATATTGCACTGAAAGTCTTCTAAAAACTCATGCAAATAGTGAGATGAAAGACRATATTACATGCAGTTAACAATGAATATGACTTAATTTGTAGACATTTGTTGAATTTTTGGATGCCAAAAGAAGTATCACTGCAATTTGAAAGTATCAGTTGACACATGGGTAGTTGGAAGAGCTGAATACCTTCAAGAATAAAACCATACAAGAGCTATAGCTTTAAAATATATTCATTGGTAAAGGATGTTTAGTCATTAAGTTACATTTTTGGCTATGTAATTAAGTCTGAAAGTGYAAGATGCAGTACTCAAGTTACTGAAACTTTTGCCAACAGGATTTTAGGTCTGCTTTTCTGATCATGACTGAATGTTTCAACTGAAGACAAAAAGTGGAATTGTATGTGAAACTTGCAATGAATACAGTATATAGAGTGCAAAAGAAAACTGAAATAACCAGAAAGTCCTATATTTGGTAATCTCATTTGTCAGAACCAGTAAAGATTACCAACTCCTAAATAAAACATAAAACTGATTTTTTAAATGCCTTCACTAAGAGGAAGATAATATTCTTTAATTCTCTTTTTTGAAAGAGGTGTTGGGTCATTGTTTGATTGTTCAGAAGATTCATGTTGTGCTGTTGCAAATACTCTTGCATCAAATACATAATTGATACTCCTGGCAAACAGTTTGATCAAAAACAAAAACCATGAAGTGACCAAATGAATCAGATAAGATTCAAAGGTGTGTGCATGTAGAGTAAGGCACTGTTGTACACTTGAAATAATGCTGTTCTGAGATGCAGACGGATATAAAACACTGTTGAAGTGTTTTCTATGTTGAACCTAACATAGAAAAAATTCACTCCCATTTTCGGTGGTATCAAGTGCTTGAATCCCAAGTAGGCAAAGGCTGCTTACAAATCCATGCCTTTACTCAGATTACCAAGGCTGTGCAGTGTGCTTGCTGATGCAGAGTGGTTTTACAGGAAGTATGGGGACACCTCAAACAACCTGGAGGATAAATACTGTCTTTATGGAGGATGCCCCAATAGAGATGTTCTGGTGCCTCAAATTCATCCAGGTAATGACAAAGGACAGTAGGAATAGGAAACTAGCAGCACTTATCATATCCATATCTGCTGCCTGTCCAAAAGTTACTGTTTAAAGAATGGGTGTACGGCTGAGTGATGAGACAGCCACTGACTTGCAGATGTTCAATTAGAGAAAGAGTAATCATCATCTCTGTCATGGGAGCTACCCTGACCTCTTAAAAAATCCTTAAAAATTTCCATTTGCATATTTTATTAATTGGTTCTATTAATTTGTGGTGTTTTTGGTCAGAATTTTGGTGGGAGAATGAGTCATAAGGGGTCATATTCTGCTCATCTGTGGTTGCTAGAGGACATTATGCAAGTTCTAGATGTTGGTTTGAGAGAGAATTGATGTTTGCAGATGACATACTGTTACTATTGTTTTGTTGTTTTTTTTTTTTCTTTTTTACAACGTTTGTGTGAGGCAGATGTGCTGAATAGATTAGTTTTGTGGGTGGTTTTAATGAAGATGTAAATATTTGATATCCTTATGTTGTGTATGGAAAAGGCAGGTATAGGGAAGAGAGTATAAGCAGTTTTCTGGTGTAAAAAGGGGAGCACACAMATTTATCTGTACTTGTCAGCATTTATAATATACTAGTATGTAGATGTTAGGAGAGGTATGTTTATGTGCTGGCTTCTACCTTGAATGTGAGGTTGCTGAAAATCCCATTGCGTGTTTTGTTTTGTTGGATTTTGTTTTAACCTTTTGTTATGTGTGAGTTAAGTATGTTTGTATATATATGACATTGTATATATACAACAATGTGTATATTTATACCCAGTGTATAACAATAAGTTTTTCCTTAATTCTGAAATGSTTGCTATATGTTCCAGTCTGCTTTCTATCCTAGAGGTACCTGGAGATGGATCCTTTTATGCTTTTTGGTTTATTGCTGCTATTTATGTTTATCTGTTTATGTAGGTTTAGGAAGTTTGCATGGATTTTATATACTTCTTTCTGTTTCTTAAGTGTTTTGAGTTTATTTGAAAAGAGAAATGCAGTGTTAACATAAGAGCTAATTTACTAAGTAGAAATAGGAATATAGCTGAGTTACTGACATATCTTCTAGTCTTAGCATATAATCATTATAAATTCATAAAGCAGTAGGTTCTTACCATTTATTTTATGTA